TCAGAGCAGCTGTCACACAGCTATTCAGGACCAGAGGGTGGATTTGAACCTAGGGCTTTCTGACCCCGAGGCCAATGCCTGGCCCTCTTACTCCAGCATTAGTATATTGCAAGGATCCATGATAGTACCAGGGTAGGCACTCCTTCCTCTAACACAGAGCCCAAAGCGGCCCACAGAAAAGGCCTTAGATTTGGGATCCGAGCACTGAGCCTCAAATTGAGGCTCTGCCACTCAACCAACTCTGTGTCTTAGGTCGAGTCAACAAAACTCTCTGGGCCTCAGTTTCCCCATCTGTAAAATGGCCCAGATGTCCTCTGAGGTCCCTTCCAGCTCGAAGCTTCTGAGGCCCTCTGAATCCCTTCTGGTGCATGGGCCTCAGCTTCTCATCCAAAGGAAGAAGCTCAGAGGTGCCTCCCAGAATCGATGCTCCCCGTCACCCTCTTTGTTCTATGGCCAGCGCTCCGGGGATGGCCTTCTGGACACCCTTCTGTTAGTCTGTTACCAGGTCCTGGCCTGGAGACCTTCCGCGGTGCGTGTGGCCAGAACCCACGGTCACCTTAGTGCAACCAACAAGCAGAAGCGGGCAGCTGGGCCGGGCATGAACCCTGCCTCCCAAGCCTCCCGGCCCATGGAGCCCTGGGCATCTGGATCCCTCTCCCAGCCCTTCCGCTCCTGCCCCAAGGCCTCAGACAAACCGCTTCTCTCCATTCCAGTTGCTGCGACGGCTTCCTGTGGAATTCACTAGCTGCGTGACCTCACTCCCTCTCCGAGCCTCAGTTCCCCATAGCTAACTGGGAATAATTATGCACTTCAGACATTACAGGCTGGCTTTGAGAAACTGCTTGTAAACTTCAGGACTTCCAGGTGGCCCAGAGGATACTAGGCCAGAGTCAGGAAGGTCTCTCAGATGCTTACTAGCTGTATACCTCTGAGTTACTTAACCTCCGCCTGCCTCCGTTTCCTCATCTGTAAAATGGGGATGACGACAGTATCACCTACCTCCTGGGGTTGTTGTGAGGATAAAAGGAGACCACATTCGTAAAGCGCTTTTCAAGCCTTAAAACGCTATATATGTGTTAGCTACTATTACTGAGTTTGATTCTCAAACATGGGCTAATAATATTAGCTAGTAATAGCAAACATTTCTAAGGGGCCTTAAAGGTTTGCAAAGTACTTTACATGAATTAACTCACGTGCTCCTCACAACTCTGGGAGGAAGGGGCTACGGATCATCGCCATTTTACAGATGAGGAAACTGAGGCAGATGGAAGTGAAGTGAGTTGACCAAGGGCACAGAGGCAGCAGGTGCCCATCGACGTTGGTGGGAGAGTTTCTAGCTGGGAGCTCCTCAAGGGATTTAGTTGAAAACAACTGTGCCATTGTTGATGTCATTACCATATTATTATGAAGCTGAACTATTCACATCAGGTTTATACGACATATAGGCTGCTGTGAGGATAAATGAAGATAATGTGTATAAACTGCCAGATAAATGTTGGGGGTCCCCATGACCCCCAAGGTCTTTTCCAGCTTTGAGAGTCTGACTCCTTAAGTATCTACTATGCACCTACAGAGAAATAAGGCACTGACTCTGCCTTATGGAGCTCCCAGTCTAACAGATTCTCTTCCATAAAGCTAGAGGAAATCAAGGAATAAACCTGCTCATAAAGGGTTTGGAGATCCTCCCAGCTTAGGAAAGCTATCAGCCCTGCAGCTGGTCAGTGAGGCCGCCCTGTTTACTGTCCTCGAGCAGGGGGTGGCAGGGTTCAGACAACTCTGAGAAGGAGAAGAGAGACAGACAGAGACAAAGAGAGACAGAGAGACAGAGACAGAGACAGAGAGAGAAAAGAGACAGAGAGAGAGACAGACAGACAGAGACACAGAAAGACAGAGACAGAGAGACAAAGACAGAGAAAAAAGAGAGCCCAAGAGAGAGACAGAGATAGACAGAGAGACACAGAGAGACAGAGACAGAGAGACAGAGACAGACAGAGAGAGAAAGAGAGAGAGAGAGAGAGAGAGAGAGAGAGAGAGAGAGAGAGAGAGAGGGAGGGAGAGAGAGAGAGAGAGGAGAGCGAGAGAGACAGAAGGGGGGGAGGGGTCTCGGTTATGCCTGGAGAGTTCCATCCTCAGAGATCTTAGCAGGGGCAGATGGCCAGTTTTCAGCAGCCCCACCCAAAGCTAACACTGAGCTCACCATTAATTTGCTGTGTGAACTTGAGCATATCCTTTCCCTGGACCTCGGGCCTCAATTTCCTCCCCTGTGAGATTCTGAGATGAAACTCCCAGGCTGGCTGCTCTGACAGTCTGTGTTCAGAGACCCCTCCCATCCCCCTTACACTGTGCACTCCCAGAGGACAGGGGCTGTTCTGGCCTTTCTGGGCTTCGCCAGCACTTGGCACTTAGTAGGTGCTTACTGAATTCTCTTGCCCTGACTTCTCACACCCCACCTTCCTCAGTGGGGTCTACACCTCCTTCCACCATCCCATTATCCGTGCTCTGCCCTAATTCATTTTGCCTCTGGCCCAAAGCCCCTGAGGGACAGAAATGGCTGCTGCTTGGCCCAGGCCCAGGGTGAGTCGGGCTGGGATTCACAGGGCTCAATCTCCAGCGACCCCAGGACCCCTCCAGGCCCCACCGGCCTCCTCCTGCCGCTAACTGCCAGCCCCAGATCCCCCAGCCCCTCCTGGGGCAGGACCCGCCCGGGGCAGACAGCGGGAGAGTAAACGGAGCTGACAGGCCCATTCAGCCCCCAGCACTTGGCGCTCCCCCTGACCCAGCGCAACCACAACCGGCTTTCCCAGGGCTGAGGTGGCCGAGGAGGAACCAGGTCAGGGGAGGCCCCCTCCAGCCGCGGGGTCCGAAGACCTGGGCTGTGGCTCCCACCCAGCAGAGCCAGGCACCCCTAACCTCCATCTCTGCTCCACCAGGATGACTTGGGGCAGTCACTCCCTCACTCCTGGCCTCAGTGCACCCTTCTGTAAAGAGGGGATACATCTGCGAGGGTCCAAAGCTCCAGGAGACAGAGTGGAAGACCCCCAAACTCAGCCTTGGCTCTCTTATCCATAATCTGTTGGGGTGTTTTTGGGGGGTTGTGGGAGTGGTTCAATGAAGGGATTTGGAGATCAATTCTGTCAGGGGTGTTGGTCTAGGGACCCCCTCTCAGAATCATGCATTCAATTGCATAAGCCGAAATACTGGGGATCACAATGGAGGCTAATTATACTGAAATGCAGTTATCAACTCTTTTAAAATAAATTTATAGGCCCCAGGTTAAGAACCCCCAATGAGTAAAGCCTTCTCATTTGCTCTGGAGTCAGAAGGCATGAATTCAAATCCTCCCTCTGCCTGGGGTTCTTCTGTCAAATAAGAATGTTGGACAAGATGACCCAAGGTCCCTTCCAGCTCTGGACTTAGGGTCTGATGAGCCCAGAGCAGGTAAGGGACTTGTCTAAGGTCACACAGGTGGGACCAGGGGCAGTCCTTTGGAGTTCAGGGCCATTGTCTCCAAATCCAGGGTCTTTCCATTACACCAAGGCATTATTGATCAGTTTCTGGGAGGGGAATGAGTTTGAAAAAGAGGGCCCGTGTCCTTCTTCCGGGCTCATAATCTCTTATTCGATACCTGGATGACCTTTAGGTCCAAAGTCGCATGCTTCCATTAAGTGAGCATGTCCTGGGCCCTTCCAAGTTTTCCATGGTCAGTCTATGGGACGGATCCTGTCCCTGTGTCCCTACTGCACAAACATATTTGTATACACGCACACGTACACATACACACACACATACATGCACACACACTTCACTAACTTCCCTTTGGCCAAGTCTTTAAGAAGGTGGAGAGAGGAAGGTCTGAGGGATGTCTGTGTGGGGGAGGGGAGAAGTCTGATCTCTCACCCAAACCCTGCTGCCCACCCAGGGGAAGAGAGGGAAATGACTCCTATTTCTGTAGTGACTTCAGGTTTAAAAACCCCTTCTTAGCAGATGAGCAGTGCAAATATCATGCCCATTTTACAAGAGGAAACAGCAAGTCAAGGGATTATAATAATAATAGCAGCTAACATTTACATGGTTCTGTAAGGTTTCCAAAACCCTTTATGTATATTATCTCATTTGATCCTCTCAAGGGAGGTGCTGTGATTATTCCCATTTTCCAGATGAGAAAACTGAGGCTAAAGGAGGTTAAGTGACTTGCCCAAGGGTTACTTACACAGCTAGTGAGTATTAAAGGCACAATTTGAACTCTATACCCAACCAGAAGAGGTCTTAGCCACCATCTAGCCCAGCCCTGTCATGTTTCTTTGTTTGTCTGTTTTTTTAAACAGATGGTAAAACTGAAGCCCAAAGAGAGAGACTCATACGTGTACTAAGGAGCTGAGCTGGGATTTGAACCCAAGGCCCTCTAATTACTCCTGTCATCCAGTAGAATGATCAAGGAGGTGCCCAACACACACTTGGAGGAAGCGGCTGGGGCCTGATTCGAACCTTTGCACCTGGACTGCAGGATCTTCCTGCTACCCCCAACAAGGCTGTCTCGGGGGTGCCTGCCCCCTAGCCCCTCAATCACAACAGGGTGCTCTCTGCTGCCCCCAGACCTTGGAGGGAAGGGGCAGGGAAGTGCGCTGTGTCCCCCACCCTGGGGGCTGCTCTGGGGGCATCCCCACCCCCCAAAGCTTTTTAAAACACATCATGAAATGCTCTAATTGCCCCCCCCCCCCCAGCTGGAGGACTCCATAGAACCCAACACGGGAGGCTTCAGGGCCGGCTTGAATACAGAACGGAGGGGAGAGTTTCACAGCTGAGCCTGAAAGGCCAGTTTGGGGAGGAACGGGCTGCCTTAGGAGGCTGAACCCCAAAACCTGCAGCTCCTTCCGTGGTCCCAGCATCACCTCTGTGGGCTAGCCACAGTAAGCAATCACTTTGGGAGGGGTGGAGATGGCAGGATTTCTGAACCCCTGCTTTTCCGACCGTAATTTGCAACAAAAAAAACAATCCCTCACCTGTATTCCTGCGAAGAAGGGTGAAGATTTTGCCCTGAATTTCTAAGGATTCCTGACATTATGGTTGTGATGTCACTTTCTATCATCTCCTTGGGGGGAAAAAGAGACAAAAACTTGGTTAGGGAGGTGAGCTAGATGCGAAACAACTCAGCTGTTCAAGAGAAAGGATCTGCAAGAGTCAGCAGCGTGTGTGTGTGTGTGTGTGTGTGTGTGTGTGTGAGAGAGAGAGAGAGAGAGAGAGAGAGAGAGAGAGAGAGAGAGAAGAAATGGAGGAGGAGGAGACAGAGGAGAGATAGAGGAGAAAGGGAAGATGGAAATGAGTGGGAAAGAAAGGAAAGAAGGGAAAGAGGAGGAGAGATGAAAGAGGAAAGAATAAGAAATAAAGAAAAAAGGAAATTAGAGAGAAGGAAAATAGGAGGGAAGAGAGAAGAATAAGATGAAAAAGGAGAAGAAAGGGAGAGAGGAAAGGAGAAAAGAGAAAAAGAAAAAGGAGAAAGAGAAGAGGAAAATGGGTGGGAAGGCAGAAAAGAGGGAGAAGATGGGAGGGAAAAAAAGGGAGATAGAAAAGAGCGAAACACTTGAGAGACCAAAGGATAATATAAAAAAGAGAGAGGAAGAAAGAGAAGGGAGAAGAGAGGGAGAGAGAGAGAGCAGAGATGAGAGGAAGAGGGACAGAAAGAGATGGAGAGGGAGGGAGAGAGAGAGGAAAAGAGGGAGGAGAGAAAAAAGGAAGAGGGAGGGAGGGGGAGAGAGAGAGAGAGAAAGACAGAGGATGGGGGAGGAGAGGAATGAGAGAAAAAGAGAGGAAGAAGAAAGAAAAAAGAGATGAGGGAGGGGGAGAAGAAAGTAAGAGGGAGAGAAAAAGAAGGGGGAAGAGAGAGAGAAAGAGAGAGGGAAGCCGGAGAGTGTGAGGGAGAGACAGAGGGAGAGAGACAGACAGACAGAGACAGAGAGGAGAGGGAGGGGGAGAAGCGAGGAGCGAGAGAACGCACTCCCAGGGTCTCTGGACGCCCCCCACCCACAATTTTCAAAGCCTCACTCCACCTTTGAGAAGTCAAGTCAAAAAGCGTTTATTAGGCTCCCACTACACGCCCGGCGCGGTGCTAAGCGCTGGGGATACAACGAAAGGGGGGACACAGATTGTACGCGAACCAAGGACCACCTGGAGAAGGGGAGCCGGGCTTCCTCGTCCCTAAGGGCGGATCCCGGGCAGGGAGGCGAACGTCACCACGTGAAGATGTTCTGGAATCCCCGGACCCCCAGGGGCTCGGTCGTCCAGTCCATGCCTCTCCGCCCCTCGCCCCCCATCTACCACCCCCGGTATACGCGGTTCCCACGCTCGGTCCGCTCGGGAAGGCAGGCTGGAGGCGCACCAGGGGCCGTTGCTATCCCGACAAACGCAAACACTGCCTGCTCCTCTGCGGAGCGACAGCGGCACCTGCGAGGGCACGGTCTGGGGCGGGGAGTTCTTTCCAGCAAGCCCGAAATGCATCCAAGGCGGGGAGCACTTAGAGCCACCAGGAAAGACCCTCCTCCCTCCAAAAAACAGGCTCTAAAAAACTCCAGTACAGAACAACCCCCAAATCCTATGCATTTAAAGAGCTACGGTATGGTACCAATAGGTTTCCCAAAGCGCCGCGCATGAGACGGCCGCGAAAGAGAAAGGCAGCCGCTCGGGGCAGGCGCCCTCCTCGGAGCGCCCTGTAGCATCCCGGAGCAGTCTGCAAACCCGGGCTCGCCAAGCGGGAAACGAGCCCGCTTCCCCGCACCTGCCCCACGGGCGAGATGCTGGCGTGGGGATGCAAGCAGAGGGAACGTGGCAAAAGGCTGTACCTGATAGCGAGCTGGGCGGCGGCTGCGACTGCACCTCTGTGGCCTCTATGGGAATCCCCCTCGCTCTCGCTCGCCCGCCCGCTCGCTCTTGCACACCCGGCTTTGCACGATCAGCCTCCCAACCGTTTTCAAATTTCCCTCTCAGGAGCTGTCCAGCCTGGGAGCATGCGCAGTGGGCAGAAGGGGGGTGTGTGCTGGGCAGGGTCAGCTCTGGGGCAGGGTCAAGGGGATTGCCGCATTTCCCAGCAGTCCCCCCCAGCCCCCACCCGCAGCCTCTCCCCGGAGCGCCTGCTAGCAGCTTCTTGCAAGCGGCGGTGGGGGGTGGGGGGGGAGACCCGCTCCACCCCCACTCCCACTCCCAAAGTGGGCTGGAGCCAGTAAAGAATGGGGAGGGGGAGAGCAAGAGGAACCTCCTGGGGACTTTCAGGGGGTGCTGGAAGCCAGGGGAGAATTGCAATAGTCTGAGGCAGAAAGTTGCCAAGATTCCTGATGCGCCCAAACTTTCCTTGCACCAGAGTTCCCGGGAGGAGGAGGAGGGGAGATGATCTCCAAGCTCCCGTCCAGCTTTAAATCTACCACTCAATTCCTATCGCCCCAAGAAGGTGGGGTTGCTAGGGGCCACCTGCAGGGCGGTGGAGGGGCCAGCCACCGCGCCTCCCTGCTCAGCGCCAGGTGCACCACCTGCGCCGGCCCCTTTAAGAGAGCTGCGCCCGGCGGGTCCCGGCGCCAGCTCGAGGCTGGGGGGGGGGGGTGTTTGAGAAGGGAGCGCTCGCGCCGGATGCCTCCACCTGCTCCCGAGGGGGGGGGAGCACGTCAGGGCAGGCGCTACCACCGCCGCCTCCGCCCCCATCCCACCCCCGGCCTGCGAGGCCCGGGTGAGCCCGTCCGGCGCGCGGCGGCCGCGGAGCGCGGAGAGCGTGCGGGCCGCAGCGGGGCCGGAGCGCCGGCCGGGAGGAGGGAGAGGAGGCGGGCGCCAAGCCGTTGGGGGGAGGGAGCCCACGCCCCCTGCCCCGCGGCGGCTTGGGCTCCGGCTCTTCCGCGCCGCTCGGCCCGCGCCTCGCCCGCTCCTCCTCCGCGGGAAAGGTGGCGCGCGGCGGGCCTGGGGGGAGGGGGGAGCCTGGGAGGAGGTCAGAGGTCGCCAGCGGTCCTGGGGGGAGGGGCCGCGCGCACGTGTGCTCGGAGGCTCGGCAGCCTGAGCGCCCAAGCAGGCGGGGGAACTCCCGGGGAGTGAGGGACGAGATATGGAGGTCACAGGTCACCAGCGAACCTACCGTGGTGTGGAAAGGAGGTGTTGCAATGCTTACAGCAGCATCTGTATGGCCGTTTATGATTGCCTTAGACGCCTGTGCTTGTGTTCCCTGGGAGGTAGGTGCTACTAGTATCCCCGTTTTGCAGATGGGGAAGTCGACTGAGGGGAAGTGACTTGCCCAGGGTCACCCAGCTAGTAAGTGGCCGAGGCAGACTCCCCGCTCGGGTATTACTGACGCCAGCCTACTCAAGTGAACAAGCATTCGAGAATCACCCCTCTGTGGACCTGGCACAGTGCTTAGCTGCTGGCGGTACAAAGAAAGGCAAAAAACATTCAAATCTGGCCTCAGACACTTGACACTTACTAGCAGGGTGACCCTGGGCAAGTCACGTAACGCCGATTCCCTCACAAAAAAAAAAAAGGCAAAAAACAGTACCTGCTTTCAAGGAGCTGTCAGTCTAGTTGGAGAAACAAGTGTACAAACAAGATAGATAGAGGATCCAGTACAATACTTATCCATGCTGCCCACTAATAAAAGGGAGAATTTATAAAGTGCTTAACATATGTTTATTTCATTTGGTCGTTAAATGAGGTTCCTGCAATATCCCCATTTTACAGATGAGGAAAGAAAGAAAGGCACGGAGAGGTGGAGGGGATCTGCTTAAGGTCACACATCAGGCGCTCTTACTATTCCTCTTTTACAGATGAGGAAACTGAGTCAGAGAAGGGTAAAGCAACTTGCCCAGGATCACATTGATAGCCACTGTCAAAGGCACTATTTAGATCCTGGTCTTCCTGATTCTAAATCCAGCACTTTTATCCACTGTGCCACACCCTAATGTCTAATAATAATAGCCAATAGTGCTTTCAAGTTTGTAAAGTTCCTTGTAATATGTATCTCATTTAATTCTCAGCACAACCCAGGGAGGTAGGTCCCTGTACATACTTTGCTTGGTCATAGGATTTAGAGCAGGAAGGATCCTAGAGAGCCTCTAATAATTTACAAGAGCAAGAGATCTGGGGGGGGGGGGGAGAAGACTTGAAGGTCATAGGTCACCAGCAAACCTGAGATGAGGGCAGTGTTGGAAGCAGGTACATAAATCTGGGATAAACTTCTTTCCAACAGGGATCATTTCATTCTTTGTACTTGTATCCCCATTGCCTGATAAGTAGTAGTCCATAAGTAGATGCATATTGCCCATCAAATTTATCAAATCTTAATGTTGAGAGCAGAAACAGGGCATCTAGTTCGCATACGTACCCGTCAGTTATGGAGTCAAGAACCTGAGGGAGGAGCAGGAAAGACAGTCACCAAGGAACTGCAGTTGAGGGGTTTGATGGAGTCCGGTATATGCATTCCTGTGACAAGATTCAGAACAGGAAGGAACCTTAGGGTCTAAGATCCTTTCTCTCCTTATCTGTTAAATGGGGATAGGATTAGCACCTTCCTACCAGGATTGTTGTGAGGCTTAAGTCAAATAATACATGTAAAGTGCCTTATAAACCTAAAGCATCATGTATTGTTATATACACACACATATGTATATATGCACATACATTTTATTTACATATATAGTATATTTTAATGTATGGTAAGTTAATCATACTGATACATAATAATATATTATTCTTTATTGCAAGCTATTTTTATTTTAGAGAGAGTCCTAAGTAAGGGCAAGAGCTGAAGGGGAGTAGATTTGAGGGTCAGAGGTCAACAGAACCCGAGGGAGGAAGTGGAGTGGTTGAATAACAGAGGGGGAGTTTACCAGGTTTTAGGATTTAGACTGGGAAGAGGCCTTAGAGAATATCTCATTCATCCCCACCCCTACTCCTGTAAGCATTTTTGAGTGGTCTCAGGATGAGAGCTGGGTGGTGGAGCAGAAGGTGAAGAAAGGTGAGCAGAGAGCCAGGAAAAGCCAGGTGGGAGTGGGTGCAGGCGTAGAACATTCATAAGATCATCCGGCATCTAGCCCAATTCTGGATACAGGAAGGCACTTCGTAAATGCTTATTAACTAATCCAGCCCAGTGAGAAGGGAGAACTGAAGGTCAGGAGACAACAGCCAGCCTGGGATTGAGGATTGGGGAGATAGTAGGGTCTATAGGTCTGGGTACCCCCTCCCCGTTCTGTCCCTCCTGACCAGAATGCAGTCCCTCCCCGCCCCTGCTTTTCAGGGTTCAGCTCATGTGCCTCTTTCTTTAGAAAAGCCTCCACAATCATCTGCAAGCTTATCCTTGTACATGTGGCCTCCTCCTATTAGCAGCATTTTGGAGCGGAAAGAAGGCAAGCCAGAAAGACCTGGGTTCAAGTTCAGATAGTGACCTACACTGGCTCAGGAACTAGGCCAGGGACTTAACCCCTCTTGGCAGGTCTCCAAGACCAGGGGGTAGGGGTGGGGGTTTTAACCCTTAAATAGATTTCAGATCATTTGAACTTGGATGGGGAAACAATTACATCTTTATTTTCTCTGATCTTTTTTGTAGCCCTGTGTATTTTATGCCTTTAAAACCATGATTCTGAGAAGGGCCCATCTCCTTCACTGGACTAACTGCCTGAGGGGTCCGTGCCACAAGCAAGGTGAAGAAACTTGTTTTAAGATTGTAAATTGCAGGAGGCAGCTAGGTGGTGCAGTGGATAGAGCACCGGCCCTGGAGTCAGGAAGACCTGAGTTCAAATCCAGCCTCAGACACTTGACACTTACTACCTGTGTGACCCTAGGCAAGTCACTTAACCCCATTGCCTAGCAAAAGAAAAAAAAACCCAAAGATTGCCCTCCTTGAGGGCAGGGCATTTTTTTTTTCATTTTGTCTGTATGTCTCCAGCACTTAGTATGGTGCCTTCTGCCTGGTAGGCATTAAATAATGCTTCCCATTATGGATTATGTGACCTTGAACAAATGATTAAAGCTCTCTGGGCCTCTTCATCTGCAAAATGAGCAGACTGGATTTGATAAACTCTAATGGTCTGATCCTATGAGGTTCTCATCAGAGCTGGAAGGGACCTGACAGAAAACTTAGTCTAATCCCTCTCATCTCCCTCCCCCCTCCAATTTAGGGAAGAGATGGGAAAGGAAGGAATAAGCATTTATTAAGTGCCTACTATGTGCCTGGCACTGTGTATTTACAAATGAGAGGTAGAACTGCATTCTGGGTCCCCTCCAACGAATCCAGTGGCTTTATTCTACTGTATTAAGTCAGTTGTCACTGATTCTGCTACCCTCCCTGCCCTTGGGGGTCATGGAGTAGAAAGCCCTATATTTGGAATCAAAAGCCTGGCACTGGAATCCAGCTCTGTACTTAGTACCTAAATGTCAGTCCTAAGTAAGTCATTTCACCTCTGTGCCCACCCACCCCTCGGTTTCCTCATCTGAAGGAGGTGTTGGGTTAAATTAGCTCTGTGGACCCTTCTAGCTGTACATCTCTGATTATGCCATGCCAGAAACCCCATAGGATCACAGAAAGTTAAGAGCTGGAAAGGACGTTGAAGATCATCTACTGTAATTGGGTATTACAGACAGAAAGAAAAGGCCAGAGAGGTGAAATAACTAAGTAGCAGGACTCAGTCTGTAACCCAAAATCTCCAGCTTGGAAGCTGCTTCTGGTGACCCGGGGCCACCCTCCCTTGGAAAATGTCTGGGAGAAGTAGCGTTTGTGAGAGATTTGTCATTGTAATCCTACCACATCTTGAATTTAACAAAAACTCCAGCTTCTAGCCACAAGGGCCAGGTCCACCTCGTGTTCCAATAGTGTTTTACTGACCACTGAGAAAGGAGCAATTTTACCTTGTAGAGTGAGAACTGTGGGCTGTAGCTTATCCTAACCGATGGCTTGGAAGCCTTTTCCACCATCTGTTTAACCAGGAGAATGACCCAGGGCTCCCAGGATAGGCACAGTTTCATTTTTCATTCATCAGAGTGGCGGCAAGGAGGAGAAACCGTGGGGCTGGGATCTTTGGCCAAGCTCCAGTTCACTGTGAATTCTCTTCTCAGAGAACCTGCAGTCCCTGACTCTTCCTATTCCAGAAATAAAGAGACCACCTTTCACTCCCTGGAGGAAGAGGTATATAAGTGTTAAGTTAAGGTTGTGAAGGCAGCATTTCCATTTCTCCTTTTCATGTGTCTTAGCTTCATGCATCCGGACAATCCATTCTTCTGCCTGGCATTAAAAACATCTTTGAAGTTGAGCAGACAATGGGCACTTTTTATATTAAGTACACAGTAAGCTACAAACTCTTTCTATACAAAGGCAGAGGTTAAAGAATTCATAAACTATGCAAATCATTTTGGTTTACTTCCATTAATCTTTAAAATGCTTGAAAATGAACATGAATAACCTAATTTTACAACTACATTTTGAAAATTAATTCTGTATCTTCAAACTGATTTGTTTAAAAAAAAAAAACAACCAAAAAACTCAGAAGTAAAATGAGTCCAATTTATAAACTCTCTTGTGTTTTAGAATACATAAGTAAACAAGAGAAATATTTTAGTTTGGTTTGAAGTTGATGTTTACATGTGGCCTTTCTGTCCTAAGTTCAAGTATTTTTAAAAGTTATTTTTCTTAGCCTGTGAATATTTAACTCACTCTAGAGATTTGGAGCCCTACCTTCCTCCATATGTGTATGTATAAAATATATATATATATATATATATATATATTTGCTCTTAAACTAAATTTTATTGACGTCTTTTGTTTTTTACATCTCAGTTGTTTCTGGGTAGGGAAAGCCCAAAAACTGCCTCTCTGATTCTCGCAGATGCACGTAAGAGATCTTGCCACCAGGATTCCCCCTGGGCCTAATATGACCGATCTAATTCATCGGAGCTCTGAGTTGGAGGAAATCTTGTGTGTGACAAAAGGCCCTCATCTCACATGAAGTCTTCCCCAATGAGGCAGAAGTGATTAAAATCCCGCCCACTAAAGTGAAACAGTATGTGTCTTCTATTCTCTCCAGTTGCATATAACGTAAAATCGCTGTCTTGGTTCCATAATTTTTGTACTGCCTTTCTGTTTGCTACTCGAGCTCATAAAATCCGTAAGACAAGGATTATGGTTGGGTTTTTCTTTTTCCCCCTATTTCAGACTCTTCTTTCTGAAGGACCTGGTCTGTGCTTTAAAACCTATAGATACTTAACAAGATAAATGCTAGTTATTGATCACGACAAATAAAAACAAGAAAGAAACAGTAAACAAGCCATTACTGAGCTCCTACTGGGCTAAGTCCTGGAAATACAAAGAAAGACAAAAAGAAAAAGCAATCGCAGCTCCAAGGAGTCTGATGGGGGAGACAGCAGGCAGTCCACTATGTGCAGATAAGGTGTGTGTAGGACGAATTGGAGGTAATCAGCCAAAGGATGGCGCCAGCATAAAGGAGGGATCGGGAGAGATTTCTTGTAGAAGATGAGACTTTAGCTATGATTTATGGGAAGCCAGGAGGTGAACATGAAAAAGAAGCATGAAGCCTGTGGTTTATTGATACTGGTTTAAGAATAAACCCTTTTAACTTCCAGGTCAGCTTTAAAACCAATGGTTTGCCAGTCACAGGGTGAAGTGCCACCTAGTTTGCCCCCATTTCTACTTTCTTGAGCAGTTTTCCCACTGTTCAGCTTTTTTCTCTTGCAGCTTTTCTAGTCAGAGGAGGCCAGCAAGGACAAAAGGGCTCCCAGTCACAAGCCTCCGAGGTGGATGTGACCTCAGGTCAGCCAGTGCTGCCTAGACCTGAACCACATTATTAGAGATCTTCAAGGCTGGAATCATTAATGAGGAGCCAAGTTTTGAAGACCGTTCCACTTCTGGACAGCTCCAAGGATTACAAAGTTGTTTGAAAATGAACCCCAAATCCGCTTCTATGAATTAATTCTACCACTGGTCTCAGTTCTGCCCAAGGACAAGCCCAAACTCTTCTTCTACATGGCAGCCCTTCAAATACTTAAAAAACAGTAATATTCCCATTGCCTTCTCTCTTGGTGGTACAGTGGATTGCACGCTGGCCCTATAGCCCAGAAGACCTGAGTTCAAATTCAGCCTCACTTACTAGCTCTGTAACCCTGGGCAAGTCACTTAACCCCTGTCTCGTCAACTGTAAAATAGGGATCATAATACCACCTAACTCCCAGGGTTGTGAAAACCAAAAAATAATGTTTGTCAAGTACTTAGCACAGTGTCTGGCAGGCACATATAGGTGCATAATAAATACTTCATCTGTTCCAAGCTAAAAGTCCCCAATTTCCTCAACTACTTGTCACACATACTGTAGCACACACCATCACTGTCCTCATTAACGACCTCCAGACAGGCTCTAATTTGTCAATGCCCTTTTTTTTTTTTTTTTTGGTTGGGCAATAGGGGTTAAGTGACTTGCCCAGGGTCACACTGCTAGTAAGTGTTATGTGTCTGAGGCCAGATTTGAACTCAGTTTCTCCTGAATCCAGGGCTGGTGCTCTATCCACTGTGCCACCTAGCTGCCCCTGTCAATGCCCTTTTTAAAATGTGATGAGGGCACACTTACAGCTGGGGTCTGACCAGAGCAGGGTACACAGTAGGACCACCACCTCCCTCCTTCTGGATTGCTATGACTCAATGCGTGCAGCCTTCGTGGTCATTATCATGCTGAGTTTGCGGCAGGGCTTGTCCATAATTATAGCCCAATAAAACCTTCAGATCGGTTTTCATTAAATCAGGTATTTATTAAGCACCTAGTATGGCAATGTCCTGGGGGCCAAGGATGTGAAGACTTGTAGGGAAAAAGAAACATCATTCCTTCTCAAGGAGATTACCTTTTATCAGGTAAAACTATACACATACTCATATTTAAATATACAGCTTATGTAAGTACATGATTTTAAAAATTATTTTTAGTTTTTGATGTTGACTTCATAAGATTTTGAGTTTTAAATCCCCCCCCCACTCCTCTCCCCCTGCCACGATGGCGGCATGCAATCTGATATAGGCTCTACTTACACATTCATATTAAGCATATTTTCCCATTAGTCATGAGAGTACATGATGATTTAGGAAGCAGGTACGAGTGATTTGGGCATGTGGGAACTGAGAAAGGTTTTGTGGAGAAAAGAGTTTTTTAACCATTGCATGGTCATTCATGCCCATCTTTGACTTGAGTGAATGATTTTTTTTAACACGAAGTTAAAGCCTTGTTATTGTTTTGTTGTTCAGCCATTCAGGCGTGTCCAACTCTTTGTGACCCCGTGGACCTTAGCATACCAGACTTTACGTTTATCCTATTAGGTTTCATATTTATTTTGACTCAATTTCCAACCTGCCTAGATCTTTTTTGGATCCTTCTCTTCTGCTGTCATTTTCCCTTAGTACAGGGCTTCCCTTCACTAGGTGGAGACCATTCATCATAAAATTTTCCTCCAGTTCTGTATCTCACATCCGCTCAACAGTACTCTCCCTGCCCCCCAAATTCTTTTCTTCAATCTTGATGAAGTGGTCCTTCCTCTTGAGACCACTAGGTGGTGCAGTGGCCTGGGGCTAGGCACACCTGAATCCAAATCCAGCCTTGGACACCTACTACCTGTGTGACCCTGGGCAAGTCACTTTCCCTGTTTTTTGAATGACTATAAAATAGGGATCATAGCAGTGCTTCCCTCACATGGTTTATTGCAAGGATCAAATGAGATAATATTTGTCAAGTGTTTAGCAGAGTGCCAGGCACGTAGTAGGTGCTTAATAAATGTTGGTTCCCTTTCTCTTCTTCCTTCCTCTTGTCAAGGCCTCTACTTGTGCCATTCATCTCTTCTCTTCCCATTTCCACAGGGAACTTGACCTTTTGATCATCCTCTCTCTCTTTGTAATTTTCACCATGTTTTTCTAATCCACTGACATCTCCCATTGCTAATGCTATCTCCCCACTACTCAATTAAAAAAGAAACAAACAAATCTTTCACTTGGTTCTACCATCCCCTGAAACTATGTTACATATTTCTTCTCTCTTTCATTGCCAGACTCTTAGGAAAAACCCTCTCAATTTTCCTTGACTCTCATAACTCATTCATTTCTCCTCCCCTTCTAATATGGCATCTGACACCAAGCACTTAACTAAAACTGCTCTGTCTGAAGTTATCAGTGGTCTTGTAGTTGATAAATCTAATGACCTTTTCTCAGTCCTAGTTGTTCTAACTTCTTTACAACATTTCTCCTTGGTACTCTCTCCTCCCTGGGCTTTTGTGACACTGCTGTTTCCTGCCACCCCTCTGACCATTGTCAAGCTCCTTTTCTGGGTTCTCCATTACCCTTCCCCTCATCTTTGCATAGGTTCATTACAGAACTCTTGGCCTTGGGTTCTGGGCCTTCTTCTTTATCTACCATCAGCTTCATTCGATTCCGTTGTCTATGCATAGGACTCTCAGATCTACACATCAACGCCTCATCTCGAGAGAGATGGTTATGAATAAGATCTGCCTGCCAAATATCTTGACCTAAGTATCCCATAGGCATTTCAGACTCAACACATCCAAAATGAAATTCAATATCTTCCCCCTAAAACTTGCTCCATTTCCTCATTTCCCTAGTTCTGTTGAGGATACCACCATCCTCCTAGTTAACTAGGTTCACAACCTGGGATTTACCTACTCTCTTTACTCTCCCTCTCTCTTCCCCCACCACCATGTATGTTTTAAATAACTCCTTGATAACTGATGAGCTAGAAATTTGTATAAAGTGCTTATTAAGCCTTCCTTCCTTCCTCCCTCCCTTCTTTCTTTCCTTCTTCCTCCCTTTCTCCCTTCCTTCTTTCCTTCCTACCTCTGTTCCTTTCTTGCTTCTTTTCTAGCCCATTTCTCCCATAGTGTAAAGAGCTACAGTCATTCAATAAGCATTTATTAAGTATTTACTCTGTGCCAGGCACTGTGCTAAATGCTGGGGATACAAAAAGAAGCAAAAGGCAGCATTGCCCGCAAAGAGCTTGCAATCTAATGGGCATACAAATATGTACAAACAAGCTATATGCAGGATAAATAGGAAATAATTAACAGTGAAGGCATTAGGAAGTAAATTAAGGATTATATTTCTTTGGGAAAGTATTTTAACTCTTTTTTAGACCATTTAATATCTTGTTGCAGTTATTTACTAATTGCTGTTCTCATGATCTGAAAGAATTTATTTAGCCTTTCCCTTATGCTTTGGGGAAATTTAGCTCATCTCTCCTTACTTACAGTAGTACTTTTAGGTTTTGTTGACAATGCTATCCTGTCCAGAGTTTAATGTTAAAAGAAATACAGTGGCTTTCTCTGGTATTAGGAATCTTCCATCCAGCTTAAGCTCTAGTCCTTATCTATCTGTCATCTATCTATCTATCTATCTATTCATCTATTCCTTAACTCTATTGTGAAAAATGATTTTTCTATCTTGGACACTCAGAGCTCCACACCTTAGCCCCTCTCTCCAAAGTTCTTCACTAGGACACTACTGATAATGAGATTGCATTGAATTTTCTTGTCCTGGTCAAACCCCAACCCATGCCTGAATTGATTTAATCAAAGGTCTGCTCAGGCTTGGGTGGAGACAGATTCTTCTGCCTAGATAGCCCAAAGTTGGGAGTGGTCTGGTATGGGGGTGGGGAGTGGATTGATAGAAGAGGTACTTCCTCTATCTAGAGGTGGGGTGATATCAGCCCCTGTTGAAAAGATATATACCCCAACTCCCAAACTGAGGCAGTTCTGGACTGTAACTCCCATGCAAAACTCGCCAGCTTGTGAGAGAAATTAAAACGTGGACACACAGCCTAATTCGTTTGTACATTTCTTAGAACAAATTCTGGTAAGGTTGACACTATCTACCCCTACACACATATGTGTATGTGTATACACACACATGTATATGTGTATACACACATGTATATGTATGTTATGTGTATATGTATATATATATATATACACATACATGCACACACACACATATATATAAAACTGGGTTAAGCAGAAAGGCAATTTAGAGATAAGGTGGAAGCAATTGGGATTCC